GTTGATGTTGGTGAAAAACTATATAATAAGAAGAATTTTATATATGATATATTATAAATGTTTTGTAAAAAAATTGTAAATGATAAGAATCAAAATCATTGAATGTTTGTAATGGTGTATTCAATTTAGAATTTCAATGACTTTTGTAGACATTTTAAAATAAAAAGTTGATAAAAGTCTATGAATGTCTTTTATATAGACTTTTATAGAGTCTTATAAATTAAAGTTTTAAAAAGTTTTGAACGACTCTATGAAAGTCAATCAAAGCTTATTAAAAGTCTTTAAAACTCTACAAAAGTCATGATTGAATACACCCCCCTAAGACTTTTAAAGAGTTTTTAAAAGTCATGTGGTATTCAAAAAGTTATGAACTTTTGTAGACTTTTTAATTTTAAGACTCTTGTAAACTTTTCCTTCTCAAATATAAATATTTGAAATCCAGTCATCAACCCCAAGATTTCAAATTTTCTTTCTAACAACTTTGAATGTTTTCTCTCCAAGGTTGCAGTAGGCGCTAGGCGCTAGTCGGGCGGCCGGGCAGCGCCTAGCACCTAGGCGGTCTAGGCGGGTACCAAAAAAATTAAAAAAAATAGTGACAGACTTGTAGTTCGACAATTTTAATGAGGTTGTTTTCAACGTTCACTCAAATAACACATCTAAATAAATGAAATAATGATAATTTATAAGTCATAATGTCATAATAATATTAAAATCAATAATTAATGAAAGACGACATCGGTCAAAATCGGTCAAAATCAGACAAAATCGATCAAAATCGGTCAAAACGGTCAAAATCGGACGAAATCGGTCGACTCGGCCGAGTTGACCGACTCGGCCGAGTTTGACCGCCCAGGCCGCCTAGGTGGCCGACCGAGTTTTGGCCGCCTATAGGCCAAAACTCCAAGGCAAGTGGCCGCCTAGCGCCTAGGCGGCTAGGCGGCCGAGTTTTACAACACTGTTTCTCTCTCTATTTAAACTCTATTTTCTATCCATATTTAAACTATATAAATCTATCTAAATTCAATAATTTTTTTTTTCATTATCCTATACTTTTCTCATACCTAAACTCTACCAATTTTTCTCTCTCCTGAACTTTAGAATCTTCATCTCAAAATTTGAAATAATATTATTTTTATTTCATTAGTGCTGGTTTATATTGATTTTTATTTTTTTTTCTATGAACTTTTTATCCCTAACTTTCTCTAATTCTCCCTAAATACATGAACAAAGTAAATTTTTTCATCGTCAAATTTTAGTATATGTTTCATAATATTCATATAAATACTTATATATTTTGATTTTTATTCTTTTTATGTTTATATTCGTCATATATATATATATATATATATATATATATATATATATATATATATATATATATATATATATATATATTTTTTTTTAACAACAGGTTACTACGAATAGCGAATTACTGTTCACAACAACAATTTGGGGTTGCAAACAATAACACCTTATTGTTGTTGGCCGTCTCAAATTGCTATTGCAAATAATATATAGTTATTTGCATGATGCCTAGCAATATATCAAGTATAATTATATATATATATATATATATATATATATATATATATATATATATATATATATATTATTCGTTTTTTTTTATGCAACTTGTAATTATATTTTTAAATATTTTATTTAATCAAGTCTTTTATTATAAATAATTTTATTGTTCAATATTGTTATGAATTTCTAATAAAATAATTTTTTTTGATGATGTTCATTAATAATATATATAAGTAATTAGCATATAAGTCTCATCATACTATAGATAAAAATAATAATGTTGAAAATGTTGATGTAGGTGAAGAATTATATAATAAGAAGAATTTTATGATATATTATAAATGTTTTGTAAAAAAAATTGTAAATGACAAAAAATCAAAATCATTGAAAATTTGTAAGGATGTATTTAATTTAGAATTTTAATGACTTTTGTAGACTTTTAAAAATAAAAAGTTGATAAAAGTTTATGAATGTTTTTTATATTGACTTTTATAGAGTCGTATAAAGTTTTAAAATGTTTTGAGGACTCTATGAATGTCAATCCAAGTTTATTAAAATTTATTATTTTAAAAGTCTTTAAAACTCTACAAAAGTTATGATTGAATACATCCCCTTAAATCTCATAATCTCCCATATAAAAAAGTCACTACATGCCTTCTGAGCACAAGGTAGCCCTTCAAAATTTATTTATTTTGGAAAGAGGTACAAATAGGCCGTTAAACTATTTGGGGATATCAATTAAGCTACCAAACTCGAATAAGCTCCAAATTGATCCATGAACCTGCAAAAAAAGTGCAATTAACATTTTTAGTAGGTTACCAACAAGTTTGTGATGATTAGGATGCCATGTGTATTTTTTTTATTTTTTAATTTATTATTATTATTATTATTATCCTAATACATATATATATATATATATATATATATATATATATATATATATATATATATATATATATATATATATATATATATATATATATATATATATATATATATATATATATATATATATATATATATATATATAGAGCAAATTACACTTTTGGTCCTGTGACTATTAGGGGTGTGTTAATTTGGGTACGTGACTTTTAAAATTAACAATTTAGTCCTTTAACTATCATTTTTTTAGCAGATTTGGTCCTCCTGGCCAAATTGACGGTGGAATTTGGCCGGAAAGACATTCGAATTTTTAAATCAAATATTAGTGGGGGTAATTCGGTCTTTTTAATTGTAAAAAAAATAGCGTTTGATTTAAAAATTCGAACGTCTTTCCGGCCAAATTCCTCCGACAATTTGGCCTGGAGGACCAAATCTGCTAAAAAAATGATAGTTAAAGGACTAAATTGTTAGTTTTAAAAGTCACGTACTCAAATTAACACACCCCCAATAGTCACAGGACCAAAAGTGTAATTTGCTCTATATATATATATATATATATATATATATATATATATATATATAACGCAATGCTACTTGCCTACTGTACTGTAATGCATATAGCCTATTGTACATTACTGTGGAGTAGCATTACGTTATATTTATATACTAGTATTTGTCCCGTGCAATGCACGGAAAATATGTTATAAAAATATACATTATATGAGATTTATTCATATATAAAATTTTTGTTATTTAATAATTATTATGTGTGAATTCCTATGATAAAATTATGAACATAAATATATTTATAATTAAAATAATATTTAAGGTGGGTGATTACTACAAATCTTAAACTATATTAAAAATTTAGTACATAGTATTTAATATTATAATTTTTTAAGAATTTAGTAAACTATAATAGTAATTGAATTACAATTTTAGAGTCATCACGGATCAAAATTTTTAGACCTTTGAGATTTCTAATTCTAGATGTAGCAACATACAATTGATCTTTAAAGACCAAAATCACAATCTTAATTAGAACATTGATTTTTTTTCTTCCAAATACTATCGAATTAAGTGTGTAATCAATAAAAGATGAGAACTAATAATTCGAGAATATAATCTTAATGTTACTAAGCCTACTTCACGTCAATTAAGTTGGAGAGTGTTGTTGGATAGTATCCAATGAATCCACGAATAACGCATCTTTGTCTCCGTAGTCTTCAATATGCACATCAACAATCTTAAATATTAAGCCACATAGCTATGCTATATATTAATTTCAAACTTATGGACTTTGGGGTTGCATGCATGCTTCTTAGAGCATCCATATCAGTTGGAGATATTAGGGGGAGAATGTAAGAGTGAGTAGGAAAGAGAATAATGTGGGAGGGGAGGGAAAAAAAAAATCAAAACTGATTTTATAAAAAAAATATATAAAAAATAAGCATGTCATTTCTTTATTGGTTCTCTTTCCTCTATCATTAATTTTTTTTCTTGGGCAGAGTAATATCCCAACATTTGCAGATGCTCCCCACCCCTTCTCTCTCTTGATTCTCTCTCTGCCACCATGGCATTTTGGCCTCAAAAGTAGTGAATTCTCCCCCATTTCTCCTCTGATGTAGATGCTCTTAAAGCCATATGACTTTAAGATGTGAAAATTAAATGTTGCATTTAATTTTCACATCTTAAAGCCCATTTAATTTTCACAAGACTTTCAGATTTTAAAGTCATAGGATCTTGAGAAAATTAAATGCAACATTCAATTTTCACAAGACCATATAACTTTATTATATATAGGATAGGATATGCATTAATGTACAGTAGGCAAGTAGCATTGCGCAATATATATATATATATATATATATATATATATATATATATATATATATATATATATATATATATTAGAACTTAAATTTTTAATTTTTTAAATTAAAAATTACACTAATTTAGTTTTTTTTTTTCGGCGTCAAATGCTTAGTAAGATAATAGTAATAATAGACTAAAAAATAAAAAATACACATGATATTCTAATCATTACAAACTTGTTGGTAACCTATTAGAAATGCTAATTGCATTTTTTTTTTTTTTTACAGGTTTATGGATCAATTTGAAACTTATTTAAATTTAGGGGGCGTTTGGTTCAGGTTATATAACATAACCATGGGAATGTGACATTCCAAAGCTCACATTCCGGTGTTTGGTTCATATTATCTTAGGGAATCTGACATTCCCAAGGAATGTCATATTCCCTCCACATAAGATTTTGAAGGGAATGTGATTCCCTTCAAAATCTTAGGTAATGTAAAATAACCTTGGTTATCTTAAGGATATTATAGTGTGTATAAAAGATAACCCTAAACCAAACATGATTATATTACATACCTCAATTTTAACCAAACACAGGAATCTAACATTCCCAGTAATCTAATATTCCCAGCAATCTAACATTCCCTAAGGTAATCTGACATTCCGTGAACCAAACGACCCCTTAATGGCTTAATTGCTATTCCCAAATAGTTCAGTTAGCTATTTGTACATTTTTCCATTTATTTTTAACGAAATATACGATGTCCGGAAGTCCCTATTATTCTCAGGCAAGTCCAATACTTGGTTAGTTAGCAAAAAACAATTGGATCCGCATCTGCAAGTCTGTAACTGCAATGTTCACTCCGCGATCTACGGGCTAAGCGGTTTCATCTCCCTTTCCACCACCGTCTGCCGCCTTGCTACGGCCGCCGTCCACCGATTTCCGACTCACTAATAATGGAGCCGGATGTGAGCATCGAGACGAGCTGCATGATCCGTGTGGCGGTGCTCCCAATCGGGTCAATTCCGATCCCGCTCTTCCGAGATTACACCTCCATGCTGGTCCGCCACCACACTGTATCGCTCTCCTCCATCAGCTCCTTCTACACGGAGCACCAGAAGTCTCCCTTCTCTCACCAGCCTTGGGATTCCGGCAGCCTTCGGTTCAAGTTCATGGCCGGCGGCTCTCCTGCTAGCCCTTGGGAGGACTTCCAGTCCAATCGTAAGATCCTCGCGGTCCTTGGCATTTGCCACTGCCCTTCGTCTCCTGATCTCAATTCCGTCGCCGAGCAATTTAACGTTTCCTGTAAGGGTTACTCGTCTTCACTAGTTCAACGCTGTTTCGCCTTCTGCCCCGGAGATTCTCAGGTTCTAATGCTTATCCTATATTTTCGTCTCCCTTTTCTGGTAGTCACAGTCTATATATGATCGAAATATCTGATTGCATTTTGTTTACGGGCTTGCTAAAAATTTCCATTCTCTTTGTGCCCTATTTTTGTGTCTGGTGTAAACGGTGTTTCTTTAGTGGTGAACTGCTGGTGATAAATCATTTAGGTATTTGAAATGTTAAAATGCATTTACTGGGACGAGGTGTACACTGTACAGTAGACTTCTGTGATGAATTTTCTTCTGATATAGTTGCACAACTATGATCTATTAGTGGCTTAAGGGAATGTTAAGCTTTGAATTGTTGGGCTTCCACTACTAGTAATTCTCAGATGACTCTATTTGTCAAGGGATAGAAGAGAACTATATGCATGATGACCATTCAAAATTCTAATCATTCTCTATATGGTTTTAGCCTTTAATTTTTATTTGTCAAAGAAGATGGCTAGATTATTATATACTCCTATTATGATGAATAGTCATCGTAGAATAGGCAATTCGCTTCTTCAGTGCTCAAAATATTACACTTTTTCAAATATAATTTGAAGTGATGTTCACCAATGCACTGTTTAATGTTCTTTTCAAAAGATTCTCGTTTTGGGTTGCCCCTTGCTAAGTAGATTGCTTTAATACACATTGATGGCAGCTAGAGGATGATGCTTACAAAGGCAGCAACATAGTTTTGTTTCCACCAGCAGATAGACTGACTCAGGAGTTCCACTTGCAAACTATGATGCAAGATATTGCTGCCTCACTGTTGATGGAATTTGAAAAATGGGTTCTTCAAGCGGAATCTGGTGGAACTATTCTGAAGACTCCTTTAGATTCTCAAGCTAGTCTCAGCTCAGAGGAGGTTTATATTTTAGGTGTTCCAAGTATTTGTTTGTGCATTACTTTCTTCCTTGGTCTCCCCAGTCCCTACTTTTTTTTTTGTTTTTTTTTTTGTTTGTTTAATAGTGAATTTTAACTTGTTATTTTGTTTGGTGTAACTTATATAGGTTATAAAGGCAAAGAAACGAAGACTTGGCAGGGCACAAAAAACTATTGGAGATTACTGTTTGTTGGCAGGATCACCTGTTGATGCCAATGCCCATTATTCCACTGCACTTGAACTTGCTAGGTTGACAGGGGACTTCTTCTGGTATGCTGGTGCGATGGAGGGGAGTGTGTGTGCATTGCTTGTAAGTAAGAATGAATCAGGATTCTATATCTGTATAGTTATACTGTGTGCTTTCCATGTGATTCATTACGGCTGATATTATTATTACATCTTGATTATGCTCATTTGTAAAATTGTAATAATTGCATTGCATAACGCCTTCAGCTTGCTGGTGCCTTATTATCAAGCATTTGTTTCTTTTCTTTGCTTATAATCTTTTTCTGTATACTGATTTTTTTTTTTTTTTTTCTGTATTTTAATTATTAGCTAGATCGTATGGGCCAGAGAGATCCTGTACTAGAGGAGGAGGTCAAGTATCGTTACAATAGTGTCATTTTGCATTACAGAAAATCATTTATACAAGACAATGCTCAGAGGTAGTTTCCATCACTTGGCCTTTTATTTTTATAATTAGCATGAATGAAGTTGTTATGGAATGAGAAGGTACTTTGTTTTCACTGCACTGTGTGCTCTTTTTTATTTTTTATTTATTTTTTAAATATTGGGATTGTTAATAAATAAATGTGTTTTGCTTCTAGTTGGTGTGGAATAGGACTTGTATGAATCTCTGTTGTTTCTATGTCTATGTTGGTAATCTTGCACATGGTTCAATTTGTTTGTCAATGGTCAATCATAGTAAGGAGAATTTTTTTTTTTTGTAATAGAGTGATCAGATAATGTTTTAGACTTTTAGCTCAATGGATGGATATTTTAGTTGGTTATCCTGCTATGAGAGGGATAATTTGAATAAGGAAGAGATCTTATTGTTAGTGGCTTTCTTTCTGTTATCAATGAATGATAAAATGTAGGAAGCCTTGAACAGAAGACACTGAGATGATATTATCTCCATATAATTACACTGGGTGCAGAAAAAATGAAAAGGATTGTAATTGAGACAGCAGAAGAGCTATAGAACATAGAATTTGGCTTCAAGAAAATGGAATGGAGTTAGGTTAGAAATATTTTTGCAAAATTAGGAAGAAATCTTATTATAAAGAAGATAAGAGCCATACCCTGGTTGGGTACTGGAAGTCTGGGAGCTTGATAATCCAACATCATTTGCTGAACACTTTCGGACCTTATTAGATGGTGCTTGATGAGTGTAAAGTGTTTATGATTTTATGCACTGAATAATGGGGGATGGACATTCATTTGCCATTGCTTTGCTTTGCTTAAAGCCTTAAAGCTTTCAGAACATAAAAGCTACGGGGTTGGGTAAATTGTCATATTTAATTGACATCATTCATCATTGTTTAACACAAAACACAGATTGTTTCTTTAAATGAAGACCACTGAAGTCTAGAAGCTAAGAGATTGGCTGGATACCTCCCTTGAACACTTACAGGGGTAGTGGTGGCTTTTGTTTTGTTTTGTTTTGTTTTATTTTTTTGTTTTTTGTTTTTTGTTTTTTTTTTTTTGTTTTGTTTTTCTTTTGAAGCAGGATGCATACTAATTCTTTAATCATGTGGCTGATTGCAGATGCTTTGTTGTTTAAATTTGTTTCTGCACTTATTCTTGACATGCTTTTACTTGACTGACCATGAAATGACTTTGTGTAGGCGTGTAGCAAATCACGACTGCTAAAACAACTCAGTTTTAAGATTCTAAAAAAAGAGTTGGTGCTGTAGCTTTTAATAAGACACATTGAAATACTTTTGTGGGATAGGAATCCAGGCTAGGAGAAATAGTTCTGTAGTAGCTATTTTTCCTACAGTGCTTTCAAATATCAATTGATGGTGTAGAGTACACTTAAGAATTAAGATTTAAGATGTACTTTGGGTTGGAATATGGATTTTCATTTAAATTCATAGTAATAGCTCTCACTATATCCTTAATATAGAATATTACTGAGGTCTTATATGTGGATTCTGAATCATTCTGCAGTCTGCATGAAGGAAGAAAGCTTCCATACAGTTCAATTCACGTACCTAATACTCTATAATTATTAGTAATTGTAAATAGTAATTTGATAATTACTTTACCTTCCCTGATCTTAGTTTATTTTCTGATATTAGTAAATTGTAACTTATTTTTGAGCCTTTATTTTTCCATGGCTTAGTAATGCACTTTTTCCTGAAGATTTTCTCTTGAGATTGTCAACGTTTTAGGTGACATTAGATTGTGTTTTATGCTTTTAAAAAGGTTCACTTGATTTTGGAAATAAGCAGAAAGGAATCCTTCCTGGACAATAATATGGTGTAATAAGTTTGCTTATCTCATAAGGTGCAGTTACTTTTGTTTTGTTTTGCTTCTTTTTTTTTTTTTTTTTTGGGAGGGGCGTCTTTTTGTTTTTTTTTTTTTTCTTGTTTTTTTTTTTTTTTTTTTTTAAATCTCTTAAAGTTACTTCAATCTGATCCTTGTTACTATTCTGTTTAGTATAAGTGTATAGCATACAAGAGCTATAACCTTTTACTATTATCTTATGTGCAGAGTTTCACCCTTAAGCTTTGAGCTTGAGGCTACATTAAAATTAGCAAGATATCTATGCAGGTATTTTTTTTTTTCCTATTTAAATTAGTTATGATGCTCAAAATTAGCCTGTGCTTTTATTGTTTACTGGTTCTTCCTGCCTTCCACTCTTGCAATCATGTTTTACCATAGAGAGTTTACTTTGATGGTATTAAAAATGGAGTGTATTTAATTAGAAATTTAGAATAGGGATAAGTGGTCAGAACTACACGATTTGAATTGTAGAATACTAGAATATGCTGAAGAAGTGAATTTTTTCTAAGTTTAGAATATTTTGACCGTTTCAGTACATGATAGATATTAAATTGTTGATGACATAAACAAAATTTAGTCGAGTTTTGAGAGTTTTGCACCATTTATGTTCATATTATTTTATCATTCATTTTATTAGCACCATTGTGTTGTTAGATTGTTTTGTCTTTATTTTATCGAATTTGTAATGATAAATCTCATTTGAACTTGTTACTAAGCACCCTTCCATTTTCTGACACTATACTAAGTTTTCTTTGTGTGCACTTTTTACTCTTCTAAATTTACTCCATTGCTGTAGCAGGCGGGAGCTAGCTAAGGAAGTGGTTGAGTTGTTGACAACTGCTGCTGATGGAGCAAAATCTTTAATTGATGCTAGTGACAGATTGGTTTTATACATTGAAATAGCTCGTCTGTTTGGTACACTTGGTTATCACCGAAAGGCTGCCTTCTTCTCAAGGCAGGTGGCTCAGCTATACTTGCAACAAGAGAATAGATTAGCTGCTACAAGTGCCATGCAAGTATTGGCCATGACCACAAAGGCATACCGTGTTCAAAGTAGAGCTTCTAGTGAACATTCTATTTGTCAGGTGATCTGAATATGACTCTCCTATTTCTCACTATCAGAATACCAGACATCATTTTGGCTTTGAACTAATATTAGTCTCTTGATTTGTTGGTACTTCTACCATAATTATCTTTTTGTATCTAAGTGACAGCACTTGGTTTTTATTTTATGTTGTGATAGTTTTTCTTGTAGATGGTGTGCAGTGGAGTTGTTGACTTGACTTATGTTCTCCTTCCATTTATGATAGTATTGGGTTTGGGTAAATTGAATAAAAAATTGGGTTTGGCTAGTAAAAGATAGGGAGTGTGTGGAAGAGAAGATATCTATATAATGATCGGTTGGCATTTGGCTGAATGAAGTTTATTTGGATTTCTTGGTCCTAAACTGCCCTGTCATTTTAAATTGCTCCCAAATCAACAGTAGGATATTCTTATAACGCCGTATTTCAAATCTCAATTTTCTTAAAGGCAATTGGACCTGCTCATGTTGATGGAGGGAAAATGCATCACAACTGGATAGTCTCACTCTTTGAATCTCAATGGAGTACACTTCAGATGGTTGTGCTTAGGGAAATACTTTTATCTTCTGTCCGTGCGGGAGATCCTCTTGCTGCATGGAGTGCAGCAGCACGCCTTCTTAGATCTTATTATCCTTTGATTACCCCAGCTGGGCAAAATGGCTTGGCAAGTGCCCTTTCAAATTCATCAGAGAGGCTTCCTTCAGGAACTCGTTGTGCTGATCCTGCCTTACCTTTCATAAGGTGTCTGCCACTAGGAACATATTATTGCCTCTGGTTTTCATGACATTGTGTCTGTGTGTGTTTCCTTAAGTCCTAACTATTGTTTCTTCTATAAAATGATTCCCAGGTTGCATTCATTTCCACTACATTCCTCACAACTGGCCATAGTAAAGCGCAATCCTTCTAGAGAAGATTGGTGGGCAGGATCCGCTCCATCAGGACCTTTTATTTATACACCATTCAGCAAAGGGGAGTCAACTCAAAGTAGTAAACAGGAGCTGATCTGGGTTGTTGGCGAACCAGTGCGGGTCCTGGTGGAGTTGGCAAATCCTTGTGGTTTTGACTTGATGGTTGACAGTATATACTTATCAGTGAATTCTGAAAATTTTGATGCTTTCCCTGTTAGTGTTAATCTTCCTCCTAATTCATCGAAGGTTATTACATTATCTGGAATCCCTACTAAAATGGGATCAGTGACAATTCCCGGATGCATTGTTCATTGTTTTGGTGTTATCACTGAACATTTTTTCAAGGAAGTTGATAATCTGCTTCTTGGGGCAGCACAAGGACTGGTATTGTCTGACCCTTTCCGCTGCTGTGGTTCACAAAAGTTGAAAAACATATCTGTTCCGAGTATTTCAGTGGTCCCTCCACTGCCATTGTTGGTGTCACGTGTTGCTGGAACTGATGGTGCTATTATCCTATATGAAGGTGAGATTCGGGAAGTACAGATTACTTTGGCAAATGCAGGCACAGTTCCAGTTGAGCAGGCCCACATTTCATTATCAGGGAAGAACCAAGATTCAGTTATATCAATCGCTTATGAAACCTTGAAGTCTAACCTTCCTCTTAAGCCTGGTGCAGAGGTGAGGATACCTGTCACTTTAAAAGCTTGGCAGCTTGGTATAACGGATCCTGATACTACTTCTCCCAACAAGAGTGTTTCCTCAAACACTGGGAGGCAAGTCAAGGATGGAAGCAGCCCAATGTTGCTGATCCACTATGCAGGTAATCACAAGTGCATTACCATGTCATGACTCATGAGCAGTTTCATTTATTGTGAAATGGAGATGAATTGAATTACATTAGTAATCCATCTGTTTAGTGGTATGGCATCTTCTCTTTCGTTGTACGGCACCCTGTTCTTTCATGCAGCATTTTTTTTTTTTTTTTCAATTTTATGTGAGGGATACTTCTTGATTTTGAATAGTTTTATGAAGCTATTTTCTGTTACATCACTATTTAGCACTGAAAGTGATTATTTTTGATAGGTCATAATGATACTAAGATAATCCATATATTTTTTGTGCGAGGCTTTTTATGCAGTTCATCCTTTTTTTTTTTTTTTTTTTTTTTTTTTTTTTTTTTTTTTTTTTTTTAATCTTTTAAATGAACATTGGGGAAAAAAGTCTTCTTGAAATTTATGTCTTGTAGTCTAAATGCTTATTTTGTCCTCTAGTTTATGATAATTCATGGTAGACTCAATTTTTTCCTCATAAAGAAAGTATATATATATATATATATATATATGTATGTATGTATGTATTTATTTATTTATATTTATATTTATATCTGTTACCTCTAACTTCAGCTCAGATCCTTGTGACTACCACAGTATTTCATGTTATTTCTCTCCTTTAATGAATGCCCTGTGGTTCCTTCTAATTGAGGTGAAGATGGGAGATTCATGTGTAAATTTCTTTTTTAACAAGCTCATTCTTTCTTCTTAAGACAACTAGTGTATTTCTTCATACTGTATGTCTGTATGCAATAATGAGTATATCTTGCCAGGCCCATTGACGATGCCTGGGGAGCCACCAGTAGATGGTTCTGTTCCTCCTCCTGGAAGGCGGCTGGCTATTCCCTTGAACATCTGTGTCACACCATGCCTCTCTTTTGTGAAGGCTCGTTTGCTCTCAATGGAGATTCCTGCTTATGTTGGTGAAAATCTTCCAAAACTAAAAACTGAGGATTCTATTGAAGAAGCCACCTGTACTGAAAGACAGGCTGATAAGTTTATGAAAATTGACCCTTACAGGGGTAGTTGGGGGCTGCGTTTTCTTGAGCTGGAGTTATCTAATCCAACAGATGTTGTGTTTGAGATTGGAGTGTCTGTTCAACTTGAGAACTCTTCCAATGAGGATAGTCCTGAATATAAGTATCCTAGAACCAGGGTTGACAGGGATTACACTGCCAGAGTGCTAATACCTTTGGAACACTTCAAATTACCTGTTCTTGATGGTTCTTTCCTTGTTAAGGACTCCTCAATGAATGGGACCACCAACAAAAGTTCAAGCTTCTCGGAGAAAAACAGCAAAGCTGAACTTAATGCTTGTATCAAGAATCTGATTTCTCGGATTAAAGTCAGGTGGCAATCTGGACGGAATAGCTCAGGAGAACTAAATATCAAGGATGCAATACAGGCTGCTTTACAGTCATCTGTGATGGATGTACTGCTACCAGATCCACTAACCTTTGGATTTTCTCTCGCAAAAAATGGTTCACCGGAAATTGATGTGCCCAAGGAATTTGACATGCAAAATAATTCCCTTGCATGTAAAAGTTCCGTTATTGCGCATGAGATGACACCAATGGAAGTCCTTGTACGGAATAATACAAAAGAAACTATTAAATTAAGTCTTAGCATCACATGTCGAGACGTAGCTGGTGAAAACTGTGTGGAAGGCGACAAGACAACTGTGTTATGGGCAGGTGCTATTCTAAAACATTTTTAATTTTTTCTGTGGTTGGAATGGATTACTAATTTACCCATAAAGTTGAGAAAAGTTGCTGTAACTCTCTTGGCATAGCTTTGTCTTACTCCTAATGTTTCTCTTTGAACTAGCATTCTCAAAATGTTTTCCAAACTAAGGAAGCTAAAAGGATGTTTGCACCAAAATGAAGAATCCTGCAATATGAAAGATTTCTTGTTTTCTTTTCTTTTTCCTCTTTGGTTAGAAGAATGTAGATAGATGAGGTGGCAACAATTTTTATTTTTATTTTTTTAATCATATATTCTCACTACTTTAAACAGAAAAATAGTAAATTCTTTAGCAAGGTTCTAGTAGCTGCCAATTTCCTCCCCCCTGCATTATGGTTGTTGGTATATTACTGATTTCAAGTGTATAAGCAATTAATTTTCTTTAGATAGATGGCTTCAGTTATATTGGTTCAGTAATGACATCTTTTGCCTTGTATTTACTTTTCATATTTATTAACACGATTTTTCGTGGTATGTGTTAGGTGTTTTGAATGGTATTGCCATGGAGGTGCCCCCGCTCCAGGAAATCAAGCATTTCTTCTCCATGTATTTCCTGGTTCCAGGTGAGTATACGCTATTAGCTGCTGCTGCAATTGATGATGCTAATGAAATTCTCAGGGCCCGAGCAAGAGCAAGCTCAAGCGATGAGTCAATCTTTTGTCGTGGCCCGCCATTTCACATCAGAGTCAATGGGACTCTCTGATTGTTGAGAGTTTTGTTTGTCCAATCTCTCTATTCTGAGCCATCCATAGTTATACCGGGCCTGGATTTCTTCCTAATTTGTTGTAAAGGAGTGCTCTATTGATACAACTCCAAATAATGTTGGATTAAAATTGTGGATTAACATTTGTAATGCATATTGAAGAACACTATTATTTTTCCCACTTGCCTGGATTTTTCACTAGTGTTTATTGTTACCAGTTCCTATAGGGTTGACGGGGTGTGCACAAGTATGTGAAGTTTCAGTTCATTGAATATATCGATAAGTTTTGGTCAATCATTTTTTAACTGAAATATTTTTGTTTGGTTAATGGTTAAATTTTTTTAGAAATTTCGTTGAATCAGTTAGGGTCCGTTTGGAAAGCAGGAAAATGACTTCTGGAAAATGTTTTCTGGAAAATGAGTCATTTTCTGGAAAACATTTTCCTTTCCAGTGTTTGGTTGCATTCTGGAAAACTGTTTTTGTGTGTTTGGTTCATTTTCTGGAAAATGAGTAGAATTGTATAATTAAACATTTTAATTATTTTATTTAGAATATTACAACATGTATAATATATAATAATATAATAATATAATAATATAATAATAAAAAAAATAACGAATAGTATATCAAAAATATTATGGGTGGTGGTGGTGGTGGTGGTGTAGTGGTAGTGGTGTTATTTGTTATATAATAATAATAATAATAATAATAATAATAATAATAATAATAATAATAATAATAACAACTGGTGGTGGTATGACGGTGGTGGCAATGGTGGCGGTGGTTGCGGTGGTATGGTGGTGGTGGTTGCGGTGGTATAGTCGTGGTGATGGCGGCGGCGGTGGTGTGGTGGTGGTTGCGGTGGTATGGTGGTGGTGGCGGCGGCGGTGGTGTGGTGGTGGCGACGGTGGTTACGGTGGTGGCGGCGACGGTGGTTGCGGTGGTATGGTAGCGGTGGTTGCGGTGGTATAGTGGTGGTGCTGGTGGTGGTGATGGTAGTGAGGTGGTGGTGGTATGGTGTTGATGATGTTGGTGGTGGTGTGATGTTGGTGTAAAAGTTGGAAAATGACTTCCCCAAAAAAAAGGGGAAGTCATTTTCCTCCAAAACAAGCCTATTTTCCAAAGTCAACGGAAAATGATTTCCGTTGACTTGATTTTCCAGGCACATCCAAACACTGGAAACTTGGAAAATGAATTTCAGAACTCATTTTCCAAGTTTCCAAACACACCCTTAATTGAATTGTGCATACATAATTGCTTATACATATATATGTATATATATATGTGTGTGTGTGTGTGTGTTTTTTTTTTTTTAATAACTTATATATAATATTATTATTAGACTAGTTTTTTTTTTTAATGTTTATTATTTTTATATCTAAAAACATAATAAGTGTCAATTTAAGTTATATTCTTGATTTTGTATTTTTTTTCTTATAATTTTTTAATACATTATGTTATGATAGTTGTATTATACAATCTTGCAATAAGGGTCAAATAGATCCGTCAATTATATACTATAGTGCAATTAGCTCCTTAAAGTAACAAAAGCTTCAATTAGACCCTTTATCTTTTCATTTTTATGCAATTAAGTTAATTAATAGGTTACAGGTAAATTTCTTTTCTTTAAAAAAAAAAATTATAAATTATAAAAAATTAAGTAAAATAAAACAAATATTTTTAATTCAAATAAATTAATAATTAATAATTAAAAAAAAAAACTCTAACGTCTGGGCCATGGGTTCTCACGAAGAAGCAGGCAATGGCTAGGCCTGTAACAACTGTGACATTGCCAATGGCCGGGGCTAGGTTTCCGGTAAGGGGTTGTCGAACAGGGCCTTGACTAGCAAAATTTGTAGCCACGGATGAGCCGAGACCAACACCATCATCCATCTCTTTGTTCATCGCTTCTATAGGCCGAAAAATCTCTGCATGCACAACCAAACTAGGGGAATTCACTGCTGGCTGATCAGCGAGGGATTGCTGCTATGGGACAAGCCCAGTCGTACCATCCAATCTTCAATCAACCAACTGGATTACCGGAAACTGGGTCGCCGATGATACTGCGAAGTTTTGCGAGAAGTCTCCAAAACGTCAGGTCTCTAGCTTTCTGGACAGCGATCAACGTGTGACCTTCGGTGAAGACTTAGGAAGGCCTAAGAAGCTGATCGCTGGTCTCCAGACTCGTAATCACCTCCGGCGATAAGATGTAGCCTGCGCGATGCAAAGCCTCCACATATTGCCGAGCCACCTGATCGTCGATCACCAAGGATTTGGCGGTCGACCACTCACGGAGAAGCAAGCCGACCGGGCTTCTTTGTCTAGTTGGACGGAGAGGCCGGTTATGGCTTCTCCGTGTCGTTGGACAGAGACGCAGGTCTGACTTCGAGAAGACGACTTTTCATTTTTTTTTTTTTTTTTTTTTTTTTTGGTATATTTTACTAAAAAAAATAAATCAGTTTTACCTGCTATTACACTGTGTTTATCTGCAAATTGAGTTAATTGCACAAATTTAAAATTTTTTGGACTTAATTGCATATAAGTGAAGAGATCAAGGACCTAATTGAAGCTTTTGTTAGTTTATGAGGCTAATTGCACTTTGGCTTATAGTTGAGCCTATTTGACCCTTATCCCTACAATTTTTTAAACGAAAATATATCTACTGTTATAACTTTTATTATCTTTTTCCCATTATTATTTCAATGCATATACATACACAATATCTTTTCTTATATTCTTTAATGCTAATAATGTATGTAGACATTATATATTGAATTAATATAAGAAATAAATTTGATTTCATTTAGAAAAATAGTAGAATTATTGCTTGTGATACTTAACCCAAAAAAAATATCTTCAATGCCCGTGATAATAGTCCAACTAGAAATAATAATATTACAGGAATTGAACTCTAGTGCTCTTGATGGAAGTCAAGACCACAAGCCACTACTGAATGATGTTTGAAAGGGAGACATAAAACTCATGATATTGTGCAAAAGACGTCTTCCATCAACACCATGCACGTCCCCCATTACTTTGCAACCAGCATCCTTAACTTGAATAAGTAGAGCATCATGCCATTTAGAATAAAAAATATAGAGTAGCTTAGTGGGTTGGCAAGCATGTTGTCAAGTGAGAGGTTGTGGATCACAGTTTGGTTCTTGTTCAGAAATTGTCGGTTTCGGTTTGAATCGCCGGTTCTAATTGAGTTTTTTTTTTTTTTTTTTTTTTTTTTTTTTTTTCTATTTTTTTCTATTTTTAGAATAGTCTAAATTCAATAATTATTTTTTTTCGAATTTTTCCATTCTAATTTTTTTTTTTAAATTGTTATATCAAATATTTAAATTTTAAAGTTAAACTAAAAAATAAAAATAATTGTTATAGTTAAACTTTAAATTGTTATTTAAAATTTAAACAAATAATCGTTATTTAAACTTTAATCAAATAATAGTTAAACTTTTTTTTTTAAAAATAATTTTGAACCGATTCCTAATATTATGGAACTGGAATTGGATTCTTTTGCATTTCGATTCGGTTCTTATAGTACATGGTTCGAACCGAACTGTGGTAATCCTTAACTGACAATTCATGAGTCCCTTATTGGGTCAAAACCTCACCAATAAAAACGTATCCTCTTGGACCAAGATGTTCCCAATAAAATAGCCCCCGAATACCCATGGCCCCATCACTAGTCTCACACTTTCTTTGGTTTGTCTTTGACAGACAAAGAAAGTATAGACACTCCCAAACTTCTTCACACCTTGACCCCTAGACTGCTAGGGTGAAAGGTTTTCTTCTCTTTTGGATAACCTGGTCCCTGCCGCCTTCCATGCAGTTTGCCCTATTGCATTTTCCCTTGAGGTGTGGTGCCTCCTTGGACCACCTTCCTTGTTTGCGGGCATATCAAAGATGATGCTCGGCCACCTTTCCTACATGCGGGCCGACGAGCCACCTTCTCTCCTTTTTGTTGTTGTTTTTCGCATTTGTGTGTGTTGTCGAGTTAGCCAAGCTGTTTTTACAACCTACAAGCCCAAAAAAGTAGATGTATTTTTTTTCCTTGGGCTGCCTACCCAGCCTGCAAGCCCAACCATAATCAATTTTTTTAAATTTTTTTTTGGGTATATCCTCTTCCTTTCTTTTAGCCTAATTCGCTTCCTTGGCTTCGACGTGTCAGTCGGCCTTGACCATTAAGGCAACATGGGTGCTTGGGGTCTTACGCTTAAGGTTTTTGTATAAATCCCCGACCCTTCAAACCTCGATGAACATGGTAGTGGTAGACTTGTCATATATCCCATCCACCTTTGCCTCTTTGGGCTAACAACGGGCAAGAAAATCGATTAGAGTTTCACCTAACTTTTGTTTCACCATGACTAGGTAAGTGAAAGACCCCTCATGAAATAAGTAGCTAGTACGAGAATCTCAACGCCAAGTCGTGGAAGGAGTCGATGGACTCCCCTGTTAGGTTTGTGAACCAGCACTGAGTTGATCCTCCTAGGGTTGAAAAGAAAGCTCGGCACATGACTGCTTCAGTGGATCCCATTAACATCATGGCAGCTTGATAGGTCATGATATGCTCCTAGGAGTCCCTTACCCTGTCAAACCGTTTGATACTAGGTGATTTGAAATTGGCGAGGTGGGGTTCGTTCATAATCCTTTGTGTGAAGGGCGGGGTGATCACACATTATAAGAATAAAGACATTTAATGACAAATTTTTTGTGACACTTCATAATTTAGTCACAAATAATACTCTTTTTGTGACAAAAAAATAATTCGACACTATTGTGTGGTGTAATTGTAATAACCTTTTTTTTGTCACAGATAATATGGTAATTGTGACGAGTAAGTATTTGTTACGAATAAGTTGTCACTATTACTAGAATAATAGTACGTGCCGTAACATGCGTTGTCAATATTTGGTAGTCACTAAATGTATGTTTATTTTGGCGGCGTTATAATTATGGCGGGAACGAATGTAATTGTGACAAAAAAATAACGTTGACACAAATTTTTGTACTTTTTGTGACAAATTGTTGTTGGTCACTCTTGTTGAAATATTCGTGACAACGTTTTTTGTCAATAAAAATACAATTGATTTGTACCATTAGAAATGAGAAACAATTGTGAGAAGAAATATTGTTGTCACTAATATTGTCATTTTTTGTGATGAAATTGTTACAAATATTTCTGACGCTCTATAATTCCGTAACAAAAATTACTAAATTGTGACAATAATTGTGTTGATTTCTTTTTTTGTCACTAATTTATTATAATTGTGACGAGTAATTAATTG